TTGCTGATACAATAATCATCGAATTCGTAAAATATTGTCAAATGGCACAATTATAACGATTGCAGGTGGTACAAGTGGATATAGAGGTGATAACATGGAAGCAACGAGTGCCAAGCTTAATGGTCCTTATTTTGTTTCGGTTCGTTCTGCCACTGGAGAGGTGCTCATTTCAGATACTGGAAATAATTACTTACGACTAATTTCCACAACTCGTCTATGCAATGGAATATTAGCTAGTGATCCATTAGTTTGCAGTGGACATGGAATATGTAATTCTACAGATGTTTGCTCCTGTGAATCAGGTTATATTGGCTCAGTATGTGAGACTGTTGCATGTAATGGTGTCAATGCAAGTGATCCAAGAGCTTGTAATGGTCATGGTGTATGTCAAGGACCAAACATTTGTAATTGTACCTCTGATTATAATGGAACATTTTGTGAGACAGCCTTAAATTCAGCACCTGAACCAGTCATTACCTGTTATGGTATTACATTTAATGAGACTTTGGTTTGTTCTGGTAATGGCCAATGTTCATCAATGAACAATTGTTCATGTAGCAGTGGATGGTTCGGTTCAAATTGTTCCACCACAATGTGTTTTGATGTATTTTCAAATAGTACCGATCCAATGGTTTGTAATGGCCACGGAGTTTGCTCTACTTTCAATAATTGCACTTGTGAGAATAATTGGAGTGGTTTGAATTGTTCCCTATTTTACAACAATTCTGAAATCATTATTTCAGTAACAAATTCTTCAACTGTTAATAGTTCAATCTATTCCAATACCACTACTACTAACAATTCTACCATTATTGACAACAATAATACTACAACAATTGTTTCAAACACTACTACTGATAATACTACTATTGTAAATAATAGTACTGCTACAAATAATACTACTGTTAATAATAATACTACAATAGTTGTTTCAAACAACACTACCATAATTGATAATACTACTCTAGTTAATAATGGAACAACTTTAAATTCCACTATTTCTCAAAATAATACAACCAATACGAATTTGACAAATACAAACAATAATGGTACAATTACAATAGACCAATTGAAATGTTTTGGTATTCCTAATACAGATGGCACAACTGTTTGTGGAGGACATGGTACATGTGTTTCACTTGATAAATGTGAATGCAAGTCAAATGCCAACGATGGATATTGGACAGGAGCTAATTGTACATCATGTTCATCTTCTTACACTGGTAATGATTGCAAAACTGCCTTAATATGTGATAATTGTAACAATAATTATTATGCCTTCTTTGCGTTTATGGCAATTCCAGTCGCTGTAGTTGTGTCAATTCCACCTGTATGGTTGGTTGTGAGAGCACTACTTTCCATTAGAAAGAGTGGTACTGCTGCAACAAACACTCCTAATAATTGTTGATTGAAATGAAACATGAATAAATGCTGAAACTTTCTCAAGAATGTCAAAAATCGAATCCTTTCTCTCTCTGACAAAATTCGAGAATAAAGCAAACTAAACTTTCTAACATTGAAAACCAGTCAAATAAAGTAATTATTGCAACATTGTGTAACATCTATGTAACCAATCAAACTGAGTTCTCAACAGTTCTGTCTTTGTTGAGATTCAATCAAAAAAAATGCAGGTAGCTCCTACACGAAACTTCACCCAATTCATTCCCATAGAATTTGCAAACAATAAACAAGTGGTTTTGGAATGTGTTTCTAGAAAAGGAAATTTCCTCAGGTTTGCATCTGATAATCTAAAATCTGATCCTCACGTAGTTTTGGAGGCATTGGCACAAAACGAAACTGCTTTCGAAAGGGCTAACCCAG